TCAGATTATGTTATTTTTCTTTCACCAGAAAACTTAGACATCAGGCACAGAGTGTAAGAATTGGATCCCATCCCCCCCAAAGGTCATTTTCAAGAATAAATTAAAAAAGTTCATTTGTTTGAGTTTCTGTATTCACAGGCTGCTTGCGGATTGGCTCCTCGGATCACGCAGGAGATTGGCTGCTTCTGGGGCTCCGCCCCCTCCCCCTTGTTTCAACAGCAAAGCTGATTGGGCCGGAGCGGTTCCGGTGTAAACAAGAGCTTGTCTGCGATTGGCCACTGGGACGGGCAGTGCGAGATGTCCCCTCCTTTCCCCAGCGGGGCAGGGGACACCAGGGAAGGGGGAGCTGATTCCTGTCTCTGCCCAGGAAGTACCTGGGCGAGGTCTGGCTCATCTGGAGCTGGGGGATCCAGCCTGCAGGTGGGAAGGAAAGAAAGGGTTAATGGGACCCAGGAGTCCTGTGGGTGGGAGCAGGGCACTCCCTCCCTGCAATACCTATCTATCTATCTCATAGAACTGGAAGGGCTCTCAAAAGGTCATTGACTCCAGCCCCCTGCCTTCACTAGCAGGACCAAGTACTGATTTTTGCCCCAGATCCCTAAGTGGCCCCCTCGAGGACTGAACTCACAACCCTGGGTTTAGCAGTCCAATGCTCAAACCACTGAGCTATTCCTTCCCCACCTCACCTCACCTCACCTTCCCTTCCCTTCATGTTTACTCCTGGGGGAATTCTGCACCACTGCGCATGCACAGAATTCATCTGCCACGCAGAATTCCCCTCCGCCCCCCCCGCAGAAAATACATTCTGCCGGAAAGGTGCTGCAGTCAGCCCTTTTGCCCACCAGGGGCTGCTGTGGCACAAGAACAGAGAGCAGCTGCTCCCAAGAGGGAGCAGGCCCAGCTGCCGATAAGGAAGAGAAAGAGGCTGCCTTCTTCACAGCGCCCTGCTTCTGGGCCAGGTCAGGAGACAGGTGATATGGGGGAACGGACAACATGGGGCACATGGGGCAGCTGGGGTCACGGATGGGGCTTCAGAAGGGCTAGTGGGGGGGGACAGACTGGGGCAGGAGCTGAATGGGAGTGAGAGTGTGGGGACACATGGGCACAGGGAGAGGCGGGGGAAGGACACATAGTGATGGGGGAGGGGGTGCAGGGCCACATGGGACAAGGGGGATGGTTAAGTGGGGCACAGGGACACATGGGGATGGGGGAAGGAATGGCTGAGTGTGGGTGCAAGAACACAAGGAGACGGGGAAGGGGGTGCAGAGCCACATGGGAGGAAGGGGATGGCTAAGTGGGGGCACAGGGACACATGGAGACGGGGAAGGGGGTGCAGGGTCACATGGGGATGGGGGTGGGATGCAGGGACATATCAAAAACACAGCGCCTGATTTGTTTCTGTTGTTCAGACGTACTTGCTGACAGGTATTTTGAAATAAAGGTCCAAAATAATTGAAACCAGCGAGATAAGGTTCTGTGATTTTTCACAATTAAAATATTGTTTATACCATGGAATTTTTAATTTTTTGGTGCAGAATTCCCCCCAGGAGCAAACGTTCCAGTGAGTCACCAGGGAAAAAGAGACCCCAACTGGGAAAATGTGCACCCTGCAGCCCAGTGCCCCCTAGCGCCGCCCTGGGGCCAGCCCTGCCTGCCAGGGGAGAGCACCCCCTACTGAGCCCCCTGCCCTGCTCCCTGCCCCACAGCGTCCCCTAGCACCACCCTGGGGCCAGCCCTGCCCTGCCAGGGGAGAGCGCCCTCTGCTGAGCCCCCCGCCCCGCTCCTTGCTCCCACAGCGCCCCTTAGCGCCTCCCCCGCTCCCTGCCCCACAGCGCCCCCTGCCCCTCACCAGGGTGAAGCTGTCGTAGATCTGCATCAGCTCCTCCGTCTTGTACTGCTCCAGCACCACCACGCCGTGCAGTGCGGTGCTGCGCTGGCGGGCGCAGTCCTCGCAGTGCACCAGATACGTGTTCTTGCTGCCATTCTCGCTCGTCACGAACAGGATATTGAACACCTCCACCTGCAGGGGCGGGACATACGGGCGTGAGCTCCCCTGCTGGCTGCTGGCTGCACCGCGCCTGTCGGAGAGGAGAGTGGCGTGGCACCAGGCCACCGCCCTAATGGAAACTGGGAGCAGAGTAGAGCAAGAAATGGAACCCAGGCATCCTGGCTCCCAGGTCCCTGCTCTAACCCACCAGCCCCTACTCCTCTCCCAGAGCCGGGGAGAGAACCCAGGTGTCCTGGCTCCTGGCTCCCAGCCCCCCACATCCTTTGCTGTGTTAATGAACGTATTAGAGCCAGTCCACAAACCCCGCTCCCTCCAGTGCGCAGTCCCCGACCCCATCAGAGGCCGTGGGGCTCAGGCTAGGTGGCCTGGATCATGGTGGTGATCGGAGCACTAACAAGAGAAGCAGCCGGCGCAGTACCGGGGGAGAGAGCTTTATTTGTACACTTTGCAAAGGTGCGTTCATAGCCACCGCGGTTACGGGTACAGGCCCTCCCTGAGCCAGGAGCGGAACCCAGGAGTCCTGGTTCCCAGCCCCCCCTGCTCTAACCACCAGCCCCACTCTCCTCCCAGAGCTGGGGAGAGAACCCAGGAGTCCTGGCTCCTGCCCTGGTGCTTTAAGAGGCACATGAGACAGTGTGGTCACACAGCGACGGTGCCAGATGCTTTGCACACTAGTCCGTGCTCTGCGGGTGTCAGGACTCTGGAGCCAGGGGCTCTCCCTCGATGCCGAGCCCCACGGAGGGTCCCCGGGGATCCCTGGCAGGGCGAGCCACGTCACATAAACTGGGCTGCATTTGAGAGCCGGCCGGCCGCTTCTTCCCCCGAGACTGGCTCTGCGGCCGGCCCTGGCTGCTGACGGCTGTCTCCGATCCCATCCGGGGCTTCGGCATCCCCTTCTCTGGACACCAAGCGCCTGGTCCTCCTCCTCTTCTCTCAGTTCATCCCTCTTCACCCGTCGCCGATTCATCTGCACCACGTTTAGCCCAGTTGCTCATCCGTCTTCTCCCGGTGTGGCCGCACGGCTAACCCAGTTCTGCCGTGTGTAGCCAAACCACTCACCTGTCTGCATGGCGGGTCGCCACGCGGCTAATCCATTCCTGCCATGGTTAGCCAGGTCACGAATCCACCTGTGTGGCTTTGCCTTGAGTGGCTAATCCACCGGCACCCCAATTACCCGAGTCGCTAAACCGTTTACGCCGTGTCTGACCGGGTTGCTCATCGGTCTGCACAGCATTTCACCGCGTCACTAACTCTCTGTGTCCCGTTCTGTGGAGTCACCAATCCATTTAAACCTTGTTCAGCTGGGTCACCAATCAATTTATGCCACGCTGACCAGATTCACCACATGTAGCCGCTTGGCTAATCCGTGCTCATCCCATTTAGCCAAAGGACGAATCCGTTTTTGGCCTGTTTAATCGCTAATCCACCTACGTTAACCAAGTCGCTAGCCGCTCTGCCCCCCATTCTGACAAGTCGCTGATCCATCTGCATCCTGTTTGTGCCGTTCGGCTAAATTCTTTCACACCACCTCTAGCCAAATCTCGACTCCATTTTCTCCCCCTTACGACGAGTCAGTAATCCATTTCCTTCCCATGTAGACAGACTCCTCGCTAATCTGTTTCCACCAATTTTAGCCACGTCGCTAATCCGGTTTTGCCCCGTTTCGTCGAGTCCCTCTCGTCATGTTCCTCTTCTGCATTTCGCTGAGTCGTTCGCCTGTTTGCACCACGTTTTGTCGTTGCTCCGTTTTTCCCCTATCCGGCCGAGCCGTTCCGCCATCTTCACCCATGATTACGATCCATCTCTTCCTTTTTCAAAGGCAACGGGTTTGCGGCCACGTGCCCAGGGTATCCAAAAATCGCGACCTGCCCTTTTCTCTCTCTCTTTTAAACAAACCGCGTTTCATACTCACTGTTTCTGGCTTTTAGCCCATTACGGACCCGTCTCTTAGTGCGGACGAGGTTGACGCCGCAACGAAATCCCAAACTGGATGTGGGACAGGAGGCATTTTACAGAGTAAACAAATCTCATGCACAGAGCTCAAACTGGGATGTTGTATTCCCTGCTGCCCACAAAGGTGTCTTTCCTTAACCGTGGATTTTATTAACCATAAACCCTGTCACAGCGGAATCCACCTGGGTCTCTGCTGCGGCCACCTCTGAGAGGAGGCGCAGCCAGACGGTAACTCTGCCCAACAGTTCAGGGACGGCAGATCCCATCTCCGACTGAAGCGGCAGGTTGAAGATTTGGAAGCAGAAGGGACGCCCTCAGGTGCGGGTTGGGCCGGGTCGCCAGCCCTCGAGGCCGAGGGGTGTGGCTGTCTCGGCCGAAGGACGGGAAATCTGGCAACACAGCGACCTCTAGTGCCCTGCGGGTGCTAGAGGAGCTGGCCAGTAGCTAGCGGCTGCAGGGGGACCCCCCCTCGCAGCCCCGGCACTCACGTCACACTCGTTGCAATAGTACGCCGGCTCGTCCTTCACCCGGCCCTGGTAGGCGATCTTCTTCCCCGAACGCATCAGGGTCTCCCGCAGCACCTGGCAGTGCTTGATGGACTGCATGAGGCAATACCTGGCAGGGAGATAAGACGGGGAGTGAGTGAGTGGGACGGAGAGGGAGCGAGACGCGGGCGAGCTCTCAGAGGGGAGAGCTGCCCTAAGTGTCGCTGACGCTGCCTGAGTCTGCCGAGAGCCTGAGCTTATTTCTCAGAGTGGGGGGGAGCTGCCCCATGCATCTCAATGGGGTGGTAACTCCCACTCCAATTTCTAGGGGGACCCCGCCAAGCCCACCAGCCAGGCTCACAGGGCACGAGGTAGGGCAGGGTGGGGAGGAGTCACAGGGGCGCCGCTCACTTGATCATCTTGTAGAGGTCGGGGTCGCTGATCTTGACCGTCCGGGCGACGTTCCACGAGACGTGGATCATGGGCACAATGGATTTCACGTTCTTCACCTCGTTCCACTCGTAGCGCTCCAGGGCCAGCTGGTATTGATAGGCTGCGGGAGGGGGAGAGGGTGAGGCAGCGTCCGGCAAAATCCCACCCCAGACACACCCGCAGCCCTGGGGGGGACAGGCCCCGTGCCCCATTCTCCATCCTCCCTGCAGCCAGCTAGTCCCTGTCCTGGGGCCGGACGGGAGCTGGCGCCCCCTAGAGGGGACAGGCCCCGTGTCCCATTCCCTGCTCCCCTGAACTCACCAGTACCTTCCTGAGGCTGCAGTACGCATTTCTGCCACTTGGTGGAGCCAAATACATGAGAGAAGAACATAAGAACAGCCAGACTGGGTCAGACCAAAGGTCCATGTAGCCCAGTGTCCTGTCCACCAACAGCGGTCAATGCCAGGTGCCCCAGAGGGAATGAATAGAACAGGGAATCATCAAGTGATCCATCCCGTCGCTCATTCCCACCTTCTGGCAAACCGAGGCTAGGGACACCATCCCTGCCCATCCTGGCTAATAGCCAATGATGGACCTGTCCTCCATGAACTTCTCTAGTTCTTTTTTGAACCCTGTTCTCATCTTGGCCTTCACAACATTCTCCGGCGAGGAGTTTCCCAGGTTGACTGTGCGTTGTGTGAAGAAATACGTCCTTTTGTTTGTTTTAAACCTGCTGCCTATTCATTTCAGTGGATGACCCCTAGTTCTTGTGTTATGAGAAGTAGTAAACAACACTTCCTTATCTACTTTCTCTATGCCAGTAATGATTTTATAGCCCTCTGTCATATCCCCCCTTAGTCATCTCTTTTCCAAGCTGAAAAGTCCCAGTCTTATTAATCTCTCCCATATGGCAGCAGTTTCATGCCCCTAATCATTTTTGTTGCCCTTTTTTGAACTTTTTCCAATTCCAATATCTCTTTTTTGAGATGGGGCAACCACATCTGCACGCAGTATTCAAGATGTCCCTGGAAAAATCATGGAGCAGGTCCTCAAGGAATCAATTCTGAAGCACTTAGAGGAGAGGAAAGTGATCAGGAACAGTCAGCATGGATTCACGAAGGGGAAGTCGTGCCTGACTAACCTAATTGCCTTCTGTGAGGAGATAACTGGCTCTGTGGATGAGGGGAAAGCAGTGGACGTGTTATTCCTTGACTTTAGCAAAACTTTTGATACGGTCTCCCACAGTATTCTTGCCGCCAAATTAAAGAAGTATGGTCTGGATGAATGGACTATAAGGTGGATAGAAAGCTGGCTAGATCGTCGGGCTCAATGGGTAGTGATCAACGGCTCCATGTCTAGTTGGCAGCCAGTATCAAGCGGAATGCCCCAGGGGTCAGTCCTGGGACCAGTTTTGTTCAACATCTTGATTAATGATCTGGGTGATGGGATGGATTGCACCCTCAGCAAGTTTGCAGATGACACTAAGCTGGGGGCAGAGGTAGATATGCTGGAGGGTAGGGATTTGGTCCAGAGGGACCTAGACAAATTGGAGGATTGGGCCAAAAGAAACCTGATGAGGTTCAACAAGGACAAGTGCAGAGTCCTGCACTTAGGACGGAAGAATCCCATGCACTGCTACAGACTAGGGACCGAGTGGCTAGGCAGCAGTTCTGCAGAAAAGGACCTAGGGGTTACAGTGGACGAGAAGCTGGATATGAGTCAGCAGTGTGCCCTTGTTGCCAAGATGGCTAATGGCATTTTGGTCTGTATAAGTAGGGGCATTGCCAGCAGATCGAGGGACGTGATCATCCCCCTCTATTCAACATTGGTGAGGCCTCATCTGGAGTACTGTGTCCAGTTTTGGGCCCCACACTACAAGAAGGATGTGGAAAAATTGGAAAGAGTCCAGTGGAGGGCAACAAAAATGATTAGGGGGCTGGAGCACATGACTTATGAGGAGAGGCTGAGGGAACTGGGATTGTTTAGTCTGCAGAAGAGAAGAGTGAGGGGGGATTTGATAGCTGCTTTCAACTACCTGAAGGGGGGTTCAAAAGAGGATTGATCTAGACTGTTCTCAGTGGTGGCAGATGACAGAACAAGGAACAATGGTCTCAAGTTGCAGTGGGAGAGGTCTGGGTTGGATATTAGGAAACACTATTTCCCTAGGAGGGTGGTGAAACACTGGAATGGGTTCCCTAGGGAGGTGGTGGAATCTCCTTCCTTAAAACCTCTAAGGCCTGGGTTGACAAAGCCCTGGCTGGGATGATTTAGTTGATGTTGGTCCTGCTTTGAGCAGGGGGTTGGACTAGATGACCTCCTGAGGTCTCTTCCAACCCTGATATTCTATGATTCTATGTGGACGTACCATGGATTTATATAGAGGCAATAGGATATTTTGTGCTTTATTATCTATCCCTTTGCTTATGATTCCCAACATTCGGTTCGCTTTTTTGATGGTGCTGCACACTGAGTGGATGTTTTCAGGGAACTGTCCACACAGACTATCAGGGTTGGAAGGGACCTCAGGAGATCATCTAGTCCAACCCCCTGCTCAAAGCAAGCCCAATCCCCAGACAGATTTTTACACCAGTTCCCTAAATAGCTCCTCAAGGATTGAACTCACAACCCTGGGTTTAGCAGGCCAATGCTCAAACCACTGAGCTATCCCTCCCTCCCAAGGCAGGGGGCTTGATTTGATGACCTTTCAAGGTCCCTTCCAGCTCTATGAGATAGGTATATCTCCATATATTATAAGAATTTTCGTTCAATCCTTGAGGGGGCCACTTAGGGATCTGGGGCAAAAATCATTTTTTTAGGGAGGGGATAGCTAAGTGGTTTGAGCATTGGCCTGCTAAACCCAGGGTTGTGAGTCCACAGTGACTCCAAGATTTCGGTCTTGAGTGGAAAGAGCTAATTTAGACCCCATCACTTTATATGTATAGTTGGGATGATGTTTTCCAATGTGCATTACTTTGCATTTATCAACATGAAATTTCATCTGCCATTTTGTTGCCCAGTCACCCAATTTTGAGAGATCCTTTTGTGGCTCTTCGCAGTCTGCTGGGGACTTAACTATCTTGAGTAGTTTTGTATCATCTGCAAATTTTGCCACCTCACTGTTTACCCCTTTTTTCCAGATCATTTATGAATATGTTGAATACGACAGTGCCCATAACAGATCCATGGGGGGCCCCACTATTTACCTCTCTCCATTCTGAAAACTGACCATTTATTCCTGCCCTTTGTTTCCTATCTTTTAACCGGTTACCGACCCATGAGAGAACCTTCCCTCTTATCCCGTGGCAGCTTACTTTGCATAAGAGCCTTTGGTGAGGGACCTTGTCAAGGGTTTTCTGAAAATCTAAGTACACTAGATCCCTTGGTCCACATGCTTGTTGACCCCCTCAAAGAATTCTAGTAGATTGGTGAGGCATGATTTCCCTTTACTAAAACCAGGTTGACTCTTCCTTGACAAATTATGTTCATATGTGTCTGACAATTTTGTTCTTTATTATAATTTCAACCAGTTTGCCGGGTACTGAAGTCGGGCTTGTAATTGTCAGGATCACCTCTGGAGCTCTTTTTAAAAATTGGCATCACATTAGCTCTCCTCCAGTCATCTGGGACAGAAGCTAATTTAAATGATAGGTCACAGATGACAGTTAGTAGTTCTGCAATTTCACATTTGAGTTCCTTCAGAACTCTTGGGTGATACCATCTGGTCCTGGAGATTTATTGCTGTTTAATTTATCAATTTGTTCCAAAACCTCCTGTAATGACACCTCAATCTGGGACACTTCCCCAGATCTGTCCCCTAAAAAGAATGGCTCTGGTTTGGGAATCTCCCTCACATCCTCAGCCATGAAGACTGATGCAAAGAATTCATTTAGTTTCTCCACAATGGCCTTATCGTCCTTGAGTGGTCCCTTAGCACCTCGATCGCCCAGTGGCCCCACTGGTTGTTTAGCAGCTTCCTGCTTCCGATGTACTTAAAAGAAATGTTGCTATTTCTTTTGAGTCATTGGCTAACTGTTCCTCAAATTCTTTTTTGGCTTCCTCATTGTATTTGGACACTTCACTTGCCAGAGTTGATGCTCCTTTCTATTTCCCTCACTAGGATTTAACTTCCACTTTGTAAAGGAGCCTTTTTGCCTCTCACGGCTTCTTTTCCTTTGTTGTTTAGCTATGGTGGCACTTTTTTGGTCCTCTTGCTATGTTTTTTAATGTGGGGTATACGTTTAAGTTGAGCCTCTATTACGGTGTCTTTAAAAAGTTTCCATGCAACTTGCAGGCATTTCACTTTTGGCGCTGCACCTTTTAATTTCTGTTTCACTAACCTCCTCAGTTTTGTGTAGTTCCCCTTTCTGAAATTAAATGCTACAGTGTGGGGCCGCTGTGGTGTTTCCCCCTCCACAGGGATGTTAAATGTAATTATATTATGGTCACTGTTACCAAAGAGTCCTGCTATATTCACCTCTTGCACCAGATCCTGTGCTCCACTTAGGACTAAATCAAGACTTGCCTGTCCCCTGGTGGGTCAGGTGGTGGGGAATATCTCCCTCCCGCTATATTCTTATTGTTCAAGTGTGGAATTACTATCCACAGAGAGTCTATGGGACATTTTAATTCACTGACGATTGTTCTTCATTTGATTCAACGCTTTCTTTCACATCTAGCACCACTCCCCCACCAGCACGACCTGGTCTGTCCTTCCGATAGATTTTGTCCCCTGGTATTAGTGTGTCCCATTGATTATCCTCATTGCACCACGTTTCTGTGATGCCTGTTATATGGATAGCCTCCTTTAACACGAGGCTCTCCAGGTCACCCATCATGTTACTTAGACTTCTGTCTCCTTTTGGCTGTCTGCCATTACACGCTGTAATTGAACGGGGTTCTTTTTTAGAGGACTATTTCTGATCAGACGCTGCCGGCATTTGATCATTTTCCGTCCTCACTAGGACATAGAGACTCTCCATTAATAGCTCCTCCCCCAAGGGACGTCTCTGTCCGAACCAGGGGCTCGTCTGCACCCGTCAGATGGTTTGAGGCAGGGAGAGCCTGCCCTGGTGAAGGGGGGGCTCCAGATTCCTTGTCCCGCAGCGTGAACCCCAGCCCACTCTGCTACCCTCCTCCCGGGCCCTGCAGCCACCAATGTCCCGCCCTCTGAGGGCCCCCCCGGTCCCTCTGCCCGCACCTGTGAGGGGCCCGACGTTCCAGGCGATGTTGTTACACCAGCCCGTGGCCTGCACCCAGTGCACGGTGCCTGCATTAATCCACACCAGGTCCCCGGGGCGCTGGATGAACCGGTACACGGGGATGTTCGACTTGTACAGGTCCTCCAGGATGGGCCACCAGGAGCCCGTCAAGTAGTCCACGCCGTGCCTGCCGGAGGGGGTGAGGGGGTGAGACTCGGAAGGGGAGGGGTCACCAGCACAGTCCCATGGCTCCGCCCCCAGCACTGTGGCCCCAATCCTGTGGCCCCTGCACTCAGTGCAGAAGGTGCGGATGGTCTCCCAGTAATGCCCCGCCCCAGTGGCCCTGGCCCTGCCCCCGAGACCCTGGCCCCGCCCCTGACCTGTCGCAGAAGGCGCTGATGGTCTCCCAGTAATGCCCTGCCCCCAAGGCCCTGGCCCCGCCCCTGACCTGTCGCAGAAGGCGCTGATGGTCTCCCAGTAATGCTCGTGCACCGCGAACCACTCGCAGTCGCCTGGCCCGATGTTGATGTTCACGGAGCAGAAGTTGTTGTTCTCCTGGTGGCCTGAAGGGGGGGAGCAATGCGCGATGTGAGGAGACCGTTGGTGTTAAGGGGATGGAGGGGGGGCATTAAGGGGACGGAAGGGGAGAGTTAAGGGGATGTTAAGGGGATGGAGGTGGGGCGTTAAGGGGACAGAAGGGGAGAGTTAAGGGGATGGGAGGACGTTAAGGGGATGGAGGGGGTGACGGACCCCCCCGCCTCCAGGGGACTCCGACCCAGTCCAGCCTCCGCTCCCCGCCCCCACACTCACCTGGCGTCCGGCTGCCTGGCACTTTCATGTAGAGCTGCACCGTGTTCATGCCCAGGATGGTGTGACCCACGTGACTCAACATGTTGCCCGTCGACGTGACCCGCATGAAGGCCGGTAGCTTCAGCAGCTCCTGCAGCTGCGGCTTCCACCTGGCAGCGAGGGAGAAATGTCAGACAGCGTCCTCACCCCCCCCCACACCAAGTTCCCTCTCCCTAAGGGTCCCCCTTCCCCCACACAGAGTGCCCCCCGCCCAGCCCAGTCCTCCTCTCTTCCTAGGGGCAGCCTGTCAGAGGGGGGCTCTGCAAACCCACCCACCCGTGCCCCCAAAGGAGCCGGGCAGGTGCGTGGGGGTCAGATCTTCCCCCCCGCCTCCATGCCCCCCACCCCGCCCCCTCACCGCTTGGCGTCAGACAGGTCGATGTTGGTCCCGAATTTGATGATCTGGTGGGATTTCTGGTCCGCGTTGCTGCTGGGGAGAGAGAGGCTTTATGGGGGTGCGGGGAGGGGTCCCCCGGCTCTCCCTTCCCTCTGTCCCCCACCCTTTCCAGCTCAGGGATAGTGCTCCCCCACCCCCAAGCCTTGTATCCCTCCCGCAATGAGCGTGGAGCGATCCCCACACAATGAGGTCACGACTGGCCCCGAATAATGGGTCGTGTCCCTCCCCACCCCCACTTCCCTATAGCGCCCCAAAACTGGGAGTCAGGCCCCCTCCGATGCGATCCCCTCAAACGCAGGCAAATGTTGGGTCACATCTCCCCACAGACTGCCCCAAACACAAGACTGCAGCCACCCTTCAATATTGGGGGTCACTGCCCCCCAACCCGACAATACTGGGGTCACAGCCCCCCACAGCCCCCCCAACATTGGCCCACTTCCTGCCCAGAAGATAAAGGAGCAGGCAGGGCAGGGTATGCAGGGGGGCACCCCAATTCCCTCCCCCCACCCCCATGCTCCCATCGTACCTGGGGGGCGTCTCCGTGGTGCTGTCGGGTTCTTCGGTGTCATCCTCGTCACTTTCCTTTTCCTCCTGCTCCAGAGAGAGTGCGTCAAATCAGGCCCCCCACACACAGCCCCCCGTCGGCACAAACCGGGCTCCCCCCCACATGTAGCCCCCCTGTCGGCACAAACTGGGCCCCCCAACCCACCATCGGCACAAACCGGGGCTCTGCCATGGGCACCTGACACCCCCTGGAGATGGGCTCCCCCAGACGTGCCGACGGAGGGTCCTGGGCCCCCCATTCCCCGTCCCCCACACTGACCTGCAGCGACTCCTGGAAGGAGGAGGCCTGGTACTGGGCGTACTTGGCGATGGTGGTGTGCGAGCGGCTGCTCTCGCACGGCCACACCTGGCGGGTGCCCGACAGGTCCCAGTTCTCGTCCGAGGGCTGCTGCACCTGGGTGCGGACCTCCACGGCGTGCTCCCCGCTGGCCTCCACCAGTGTCTTCGTGCTGAACAGGCCCAGGTCTGGGGGAGGGGGGATATGGGCATGGGAGAGAGTCACGGGCCGGGCCCCCGTCCCCCAGAGCCCCCCCGTCTGCATCGGCCACGGGAGAGAATCACAGGCAGGGCCCCCGTCCCCCAGAGCCCCCCCGTCTGCATCGGCCACGGGAGAGAGTCACGGGCCGGGCCCCCGTCCCCCAGAGCCCCCCCCTCTGCATCGGCCACGGGAGAGAGTCACGGGCCGGGCCCCCGACCCCCAGAGCCCCCCCCTCTGCATCGGCCACGGGAGAGAGTCACGG